AAATATCCGATAAAAAGGATGTTTTGATTGACTTCTGAATAGCTTAGAGTCCAAATTAATTTTTGTTTCTTTTTATCTTGCAGGATTTTCACCTTGGTTTTGATAGTGGCCTTCCTTCCTTGAAATAATCCCTAAAACTTCATCCCTAAAAACAAAAAGGAAGGAAATAATTAACTGAGAGTTTTTAGAGACCACTTTTCATTTTTAAAAATTGATAAAAGTATTTAAGAACAACTAGGTAATTTTAGATGTTATGTAGAAGATCAAAATGGAAAATACAGTTCATGGATACACTAATGTCACAACTTTTGGCTTCTTTAACTTCCGTTTGTTGAACTTTTGATGTTTGATTTACAGATACTTTAAAACTACCACATGACTGATATAAAAATTTTAAATTGTTACATATTCTCAAGATTCCCAAAGTTAGCCAGTTATATTAGTGATTTTTGATAAGAACACTTGGAATGAGGAACCAAATGTAATATAAAATTTTGTTTTTTCCTACATGATTTTCTTGTCATTGACAATAATATTTTGCAGTACAATTGATGTTCAGTGACCACCTATTAAACATATAGAAGATAACATAGCTAAGAAAAAAAACTACCCCTATTTTGGGAGGGAAAGGTAAAATTTATAGAGTTTATTGATTTTCATGCTAATGGTATACACTCATGAAATACACCAGGAAGTAACCTGTTAAGAGATATTTGGTCCAAATACTCAGGATTATTACTATTATTATTATTATGTAGATAATGCTTCATACAATGTGACATGTTTTTGGTCTTGCTTTTGTTTTTTGTTTGGTTATTTTGTTTTGATTTTTGGTGGTAGGGCACTGGGGATATCAAAGCTGTACAGTTTTAGAAAATTTCACGTAACTGAAATAGCCTATACCTGATAGTGAGCATTTCTTCTTTTCTTGCCTTGATTTCATGCTCCATCCTCAGCAATATGGCGCTCACTGATTTTTTTTTCTTTAAGGAATAATAGTTATTCTGACAGCCTTTAATTTTGGTTTGGGATTCATTAAATGTAAGGATTGTTGATTTGATTTAGTAACTTGAACTCAGTGTTTGTGTCCTCATTATTATCTATTGCAGATAATTAGATTTTTCTCTTTGTCTCTAAGAACAGTGTTTCCTAATGTGCAGCCCATATTAGCATTAGGCATTTTTGCTTGACCTAATCATTATTTTTTTCTAGATAGTGTTTGAATGTCTTTGTGGAAACAATAGCTCAATAGCTTAGCTATAATTTTCTAAGTTACAACTTTATTTGCCTTGTTCTTTTTATTCTCCTAATCTTACTACTAATACTTTTCCTTTAATTTTGCTTCCATTATCAGTGCTTCCAAGTTCTTGTTTAATGTGCTTCAAAATAATTAAATATGGATATCTGGTGCCTATTTCATTACTCATGTATAATTACTTCAATTGTATTAAACCTCTTTAAATTGTGTCGATATTTTCATAAGCTGGTGGTTAAGTATATTTTTATAAAGTGATCTTAGAAATACATATAAATGTTATAAAGATGTACTTAACCATCACCAGTTTATAAAAGTCTTAATTTAATACTCAATTTAAGAAGTTTCAAAATAACATATTTTACTTGTAGTATATTGGATATGTATACACTACATGTATGTGTAGTATATAGTGTATGCAGTAACATACTTTACCTGTATTATGAAATAGAAACCATTTCTAATGTTTCTGCCAGAAAAGATAAAATTCCTTGCATTCTTCTGTCTCCTAATTGTAGTCTGCTTAATTTCTCTCACTGCTTGCCAGCATTGATTTAGAACTAATGNTAAAATTGAAAATGAAAATGAAACTATCATAGTTTCATTTATAAAATTTTTAAAGAATATTGTTCACATAATGGTGATTATGTAAAAATGTATTTATGGCTCTCGAATAATTTTTAAGTTGTTGTGAGGGACAGGATTGGCTCTTCCGGTTCAAAAGTTTGCCGACTCCTGCTCTAGACTCAAGTCATATTTAAGATGAAAGGAGCCTCTGATCCTAGTGTTGGAACATATAGATTGCCAGCGCTCTGAGAAACTTACTTGACCAGGAAAAGTGATTCTGTCTTTGGGAAACTTATTCATGGTTATCAGTTGTGAAAAGTTATAATGGTTCTTTTAATAGCAGGTCCAGAATAAAGTTCAATATTGGCCTTTTTAAAAACAGGTGAATAACTAGAAAAGTAAGCTTTGTTGTTAACTACTCAGACACCTTAGGCTTGGTAGTTGAACAGCCTACATAGCACCTGAATTGTAGACTTTTTTTGGAACATTTTGAAAAGTTAACTACAAACCAAGAGTTTGCCACAAAATAAGTAAAGAAAACTCCTGCTATGGAATGTGGAGGCAAGTAGCATGTTGAAAAAGTCAATTCTTCCCATAGGTTTGTAAAAGCTTTGCTTTCAAGTCCCTTTCCTGTTAGGGCTCTTACTTTCTTTTGTGTAGGATCCTTGCTACCGAGCTTCTCACTTCTGCCCCAGTGGTAAGTCAGTCTTGGGGTGCAAATCAGTGATGCTGCTGCTCCTCCAGTGGTATAGTGGGAAAATTCCAGGCAGGCTTCTTACCTCAAGTAGCACCCTTTTCCTGTTTTCTAGACCTTAAGAAGACTATCTGTTTTAGTTCAGTATTTTAAATAACAAGTGTAATCTTAGGATTGCGACTCCAATGAGACCTCGTAGATTTCATTTTGGATAATTTTGTTGGAGGGTATTGAGGCCGTGTTAGCTGTGTTAAAATGCCTCTAATGTGCTTCAAAGGAACCCCTAAGGCTTTTCCTTCACGCTAGTTTACTCAGCCGTTGTGAGTCCAATTTACTTTCCTTTGCACTTCTTCCAACTGCTGTAGATCATTAATTATTCTGCCAGGAATCGTAGTCTAAAAATGGGCAGGTAAGAGATACACCAGGAGTGGTACACTTGGAGGTGTTTTTAAAGCAACCTCTCACTGCAGGGAGGAGAGCACGAAGTGGTGATGGTCACCGGTAAGTCACTACTTTTCTCAAAAAAAATTTTTTTTAACTTATTCGTCATTTGTATAGGTTGACCAATTCCTCTTTGAAAATGTGGCTTTCCTTATGAGATTAATCATGCATTTACAATTGCTTTAAATTCTCTGAGCCAGTTATTACCTCCATACTATTTTAAAGTCTGTTAGCCCCATTCTTACTTGAGTTCTAGTCTTTAATTTCCAGCTGTCTTTAGAGTATTTCCATTTAATTTTACTAGCCTATATCTTCCAAATTTCCCATTTTGTCCATTCCATCACCACTCTCCTGAACTTAAAAAAACTTGGAGTCATCTTAAGAGTCCTTTATCCCTTTTGTTAAGTCTGGTAAAGTCATGTATCTTCCTGTGCACAGTCCTTGTAATGTGTTATGCCTGATCCATTTTCACTGTTATCTTTTTATTCTAGTGGATTTTTCACATCTAAATTATTTTAGTAGCCTTTCGATTGGATCTTTTATCTAGGTCACCTTTTCCTTCTAATATATTTGGTACAAAATGACCAGATTAGTTTAACTAAAATATCACCTTTTTTGCTGCTTTCCTGCCAAAGATCAGACAGTGCTCCCTCATTATTATTAAGATCAAGCTTAGGTTTTGGCACTAAAGG